GATCTGAGTATATTGTTTTTGATATGGTGACATTTCTTATCAGATCATCATTGTTAGTGAAGATGAGGTCTAGTGTATTCTTCAGTCTAGTAGGCTCTATTATTTGCTGGTTTAAATTGAATTTTGTGCAGAGATTTAAAAGCTCGTGTGACTGTGAGTTTTCATCAGAGCTGCCTCCTGGTGTTATTACTGCAACAATATTATTTGCTATATTCCTCCATTTTAGGTGCCTTAAGTTGAAATCCCCCAGGAGCAAGATGTTGGGTGCAGGAGCTGGAAGATTTTCCAGACAGTGGTCAATTTTTAACAGCTGTTCCTGGAATTGCTGGGATGTTGCATCCGGAGGCTTGTAGACTACCACAATGACTAGGTTTTGGTTCTCGACCTTTACTGCTAAAACTTCCACTACATCATTTGAGGCATTAAGCAGTTCTGTGCAAACAAGTGACTCTGGAATGTACAGGCCACCCCCCCCCTTTTGCCTGTTCACTCTGTCACATCTGTATAGGTTGTAACCTGGGATCCATATTTCGTTGTCCAAGTGATCCCTTATGTGGGTCTCAGTGAAAGCCGCGAACATTGCCTTTGCCTCTGCAAGCAATCCACGGATGAAAGGTATTTTGTTGTTTGTTGCTGGCTTTAGACCCTGTATATTTGCAAAGAAGAATGTCATCGGACTGGTGGTATTGTTGGTACTGGGGGGAGGATTTTTTTTCCGGCATTAGTATCTGTATCTGTTGGTTTGGAGTGGAGGCCATCGACTGTGGTTCCACTCCAGGAATGACTGGATTTGGTGTACGATTTCTGCCATTTCCTGCCAGTTTTTTTTCCTTCCTGGCACTAAAAAACCTCTCCCTCTTGAGTGGCTGTGGCTACCCAAGTTTTCCCATGGCCTGGATGTTTTGTATCTTTTTGTCCCCTTTAGATGGTGTGCCTGGCAATTTAAGTTATAGCACAGTCTTTCCTGTACTGAAGAGGTACACAGTTCAGGGTGAAAAAGCTTACAGGAAGGGAGTTTGCATTTTCCTGTTGTCATATGGGCATGGCATTTTCTAGGGTGGTCATAGTTGCACGTCCCGTCTGTTTTTTCCAGATTTCCCATGCCTGCAGATACCAAGTGCATAGTATGTGCACAGGCCTGATCACAGACCGGGCCGCGGGGGCGTTGACCCCCGGAACTCTCTCCAGGTAAACAGGCTTGGTTTCCATTTGCCTTGGGTTTCTGTGACTGTATTTCCTGTTGGTGCATGTTTCCCTGTCTTACTCCTATCCTCTCTAGCACCAACAATGGAGCTCCCACCAGTTGTTTTTGGTAATATATCCTCACTATTGCTAGTGGAGTCCTCTTGTTTGCTATTTCCTGCGGTATTTCTAGTTTGCAATATTGGTTTTATCTTATCTTTGACTACACTTGTTTCCCTACTATGGCTCCTGTCCCCTATGAGGTCATTTATATGTATTCCTTCCTGCGTATAATTCCCGACTACCTGGACAGCATCTCCAGCTTCACCATTACTGTCTCCCAGGACAGCACCTCCAGCTTCACCATTACTGTCTCCCAGGACAGCACTATCAGCCCCACATTTACTGACTACCAGGACTTCATCTCCAGCCTTACAGTTTCTGACTACATGGCCAGTATAAAGGGGCCCAGTACCATTCAGCCCAGACTTTTTATGTTCCCATCTGTTGTAGAAAGCTTCCAGGTTTTCTATGAAAGCAGCTTTGATGTTGTCCTCTTTTAATACCCTTGTGATTCTAGTCCACAGATTTATCTCATTTGGGCATACCCAAAAACACTTCCCTGTTTTAACACTGCTTGTAGCTAGTTCTTGGATATCTGCACAAGGGGTGTGACACCAATTTCCACAAAAATGACAATTTACCCATGTGGAAGCCCGTTTGTTTGACTGACCACAGACTACACACAGCTTCATAATGATTTGAATGGCTGATTTACTGCAATTCTACTAGCAACCTCTTGAATGTTCTATTAATAACCTCCTTAAATGAAGCTCTAGCTATTTGTATTTCTGTTTCTAACTGTTTTTGTATATTGGACAGCTTACCGTGCACGTTCCTGATTTATATTTAATGTTTGTGTTTATAAGGGCGCCTACAACCCCATCCGTTTACAGTCTGCTTTATTGTCCAACGAAACCATTTGAAACCAGTCAAGGGTTCGGACCAGTCAAGGGTTCGGACCAGTCAAGGGTTCGGACCAGTCAAGGGTTCGGACCAGTCGATCTGATCTGATCAGTGGGTCACTTATTTAAAACATACTGGTCGGTGATTTGAGCTAACACATGAAGGATCTACTGGAAATTATCTACCCGAGTAATATGTGATTTGATTGATACAAAAGTATAACTTGCGTGTTGAAGAAACCGGTGACTGCTGGAAACTCCTACAATGACGAACGGTCAACCTCAACCCTTGTTTATCAATCGCTGTATCTAGCTTTTCTATTTTTTTTTTTTTCGTCTCCACCACAATAAATGCTATATTATCACTATAGTTGACTGGTGGAAATTTTGGAGGAAGGACGCTTTTTCTGTAGTAATAATTGCTTCTCGTTGTGTATATTGCGACCGCTGGTAACTACAGGTTATATGAAATTCACAGTATACGTCTGGTATTTCAAGAAAAAAAGAAACTAATGAAAGTCACTCCACTCCACTAAGTACCATTATAATACTGGTTAGTTGCTACTACAACACTGTATTCTGCTATTCACTGGTATCACTAGATTATATGCGAGTACACTAGCAGGCCAGGAAGATTATTAAAAACAGCTGACCTGTGGTAAGTTTCTGGCGACTTCTGGCACCTGCCTCTATAGGCTTATCACTTCATTTACAAATTCACCTGTTTTCAAATGACACTTTAGCCTTTATCATCAATATACTAGGGAGCCACTGTAGTATACACTATACACTATGTATACTCAATGTTATCAGGGAGACTTTCTTTCCTCTGACACGAAAAGTTCAATTATTATTATTTTTTTCACACGGGACACAGGCCTGATTCCCCTCTGGTAGTAAACTCTGCTAGGTAGTGCACACTAATTCTCCTTTTTTGACTCAGTATATAATGTTTTCCGCCCAAGATTGGTTCCAGGCGCTAGAGGGATGCATCGTATAGGATTGATGACATTAAAGTTCTAGCACGTAAGAGCTACCGTGAAAACACGAGAAAACCCGGAGCACAACGAGGCACGCTGGGATAAAACTGACCTAATTTGCGGGAAATGCTTAACATAACAAGCGGCTTTCTATACAGTAGTATGTTATTGATGTCAGCTATTGTCTGTATACCTTGTACATGTACTTGTAGTAAATAAAGATATTAATTTTATTATTATTATTATTATTATTATTATTATTATTATTATTATTATTATTATTATAATTATTGTTATTATTATTATTATTATTATTATTATTATTATTATTATTATTATTATTATTATTGTTATTATTATTATTATTATTATTATAATTATTATTATTATTATTATTATTGTTATTATTATTATTATTATTATTATTATTATTATTATTATTATTATTATTATTATTATTATTATGATACCTAATATATGTGTAAATATATTGGCGTCTCTTTTTATTTTCAGTTCTAAACTCTTACTAACACTTGATAATTACTCTTGGCAGAGTGTTCAGCCTGGAGGTGCTTGTATGAACATATAATACTGAAATTTTATACCTGGCCCTATATCACTCTCTTATTTACCCCTATCTCACCTATGGAATTTGTGCATGGGGCTCAACAACAATTAACCATCTCAGACCACTAATTACCCAACAAAAGGCTGCAGTTAGAATGATAACAAATTCTCACTACAGGCAGCACACTCCACCAATATTCAAAACACTCAACCTACTCACCATACAAAACATCCATACTTATTATTGCACTTATTACATACATAGAACACTTAACTCTGATATTAACCCTCCCCTCAAACATCTCCTTGCCAACCTCAACAGAACACATGACCATAACACAAGGCACAGATCACTCTTTGATGTTCCTCGTGTCCATCTCACACTATGCAAAAACTCAATGCACATAAAAGGCCCTAAAATCTGGAATTCATTACCTGTAAATATAAAAGAAACACTACCTGTTTATAAATTCAAGTCTCTTCTCAAAGATCACTTACTCACCCAAAACCAAATAAATACTGAATAACTGAACCTTATAAATTGTACATCTTAAATGTTTCTCACAATTATATCACATAAATGTTAAACCTAAAACCCAATCTAACTTTATTATTTTTTAAATACACTACCTAACAGAATACTCCATTCTACTGAATGTACAACAATGCATACAACCATATGACCTGTCTTTGTAATACTCATTTGTGCTTTATAGTAATCTGTTTACATTAAAGTTTTATCACTGATGTCATCATTGCTTAGTTAATCTTAAGTTAATTTTAAGCCAGCCCGTAATGCTATGCATAGTATAAGTGGCTTTGGCATGCTGCTCTTATCTGTATTTTTTTGTACCTCTGTATGTGTGCTCAAATTGTTAATAAATAAATAAATAAATAAATATATGGTATGAATTTGGAGAAATAAGATAAATATTCCTAGGGAGGCGCTGGCCATATTTAAATTCCCCGCCACAAGCCCCTCACACCAGTCTTATAGTGGGATTTACGAAAATATACATTAACTCTATCACTCTCTCCCATTTATTTTCGAATTGATTTTAATTAAATAAATTTCACTCGCTATAGGTGCTAAAAATGAGTGATTTTTGGTATTTTGTATATTTTAATGTTTACTAATCTGGTTGTCAACAAATCTTGCAGTGGTGAGTCCAGCAAGATTTTTATCTATTTTTACCATTATTTTGGTGGTATTGTATGGCGTAGGGAGTATATTACAACCCATTAATGTTCCTGGTTCATGTGGCAGCCACTTACAGACATTTTATAACCTCAAAAAAGAGTAATTGTCTGAGAAAGAGTGGACAAATGTGAGTGATGTATGGGAATGATGGCGCTGTGCTGTCTACCTTGTGTCTACCTGCTGTCTACCTGCTGTCTACTTTGTGTCTACCTGCTGTCTACCTTGTGTCTACCTGCTGTCTACCTTGTGTCTACCTGCTGTCTACCTTGTGTCTACCTGCTGTCTACCTTGTGTCTACCTGCTGTCTACCTTGTGTCTACCTACTGTCTACCTTGTGTCTACCTGCTGTCTACCTTGTGTCTACCTGCTGTCTACCTTGTGTCTACCTGCTGTCTACCTTGTGTCTACCTGCTGTCTACCTTGTGTCTACCTGCTGTCTACCTTGTGTCTACCTGCTGTCTACCTTGTGTCTACCTGCTGTCTACCTGTTGTTTACCTTGTCTACCTGCTGTCTACCTTGTGTCTACCTGCTGTCTACCTGCTGTTTACCTTGTGTCTACCTGCTGTCTACCTTGTGTCTACCTGCTGTCTACCTTGTGTCTACCTGCTGTCTACCTTGTGTCTACCTGCTGTTTACCTTGTGTCTACCTACTGTCTACCTGCTGTCTACCTTGTGTCTACCTGCTGTCTACCTTGTGTCTACCTGCTGTCTACCTTGTGTCTATCTGCTGTTTACCTTGTGTCTACCTACTGTCTACCTTGTGTCTACCTGCTGCCTACCTTGTGTCTACCTGCTGCCTACCTTGTGTCTACCTTGTGTCTACCTGCTGTCTACCTTGTGTCTACCTGCTGTCTACCTTGTGTCTACCTGCTGTCTACCTTGTGTCTACCTGCTGTCTACCTTGTGTCTACCTGCTGTCTACCTGGTACATGACCTCTACTTCGGTACTAGGAAATATCTCACACCCGAGAGAGCCTAGGTTCGATCCCCGGCGTGACCAGGACATGGAATATTTTTTTTTTCCATGGTTGCTAGATGATATTTTATACTGATCATTTTTACCCAACTGAAAATTTTAGACGCTAATATTTTTTTTTTTTTTACAGATTGATATTTTACTCAAAAGTGGATTTTTCTAATAGATTTGTTGAGTTTTTTCCCTCCAGAATGTGACCCACAGTATATTGGGCTGTGAGATCAAGAACCCCAGTGGAAAACAAGGACCCCAATGGAAAACAAGGACCCCAGTGGAAAATAAGGACCCCAATGGAAAACAAGGACCCCAGTAGAAAACAAGGACCCCAGTGGAAAACAAGGACCCCAATGGAAAACAAGGACCCAGTGGAAAACAAGGACCCCAGTGGAAAACAAGGACCCCAATGGAAAACAAAGACCCAGTGGAAAACAAGGACCCCAATGGAAAACAAGAACCCCAGTGGAAAACAAGGACCCCAATGGAAAACAAGGACCCCAGTGGAAAACAAGGACCCCAATGGAAAACAAGGACCCCAGTGGAAAACAAGGACCCCAGTGGAAAACAAGGACCCCAATGGAAAACAAGGACCCCAGTGGAAAACAAGGACCCCAATGGAAAACAAGGACCCAGTGGAAAACAAGGACCCCAATGGAAAACAAGGACCCAGTGGAAAACAAGGACCCAGATGGAAAACAAGGACCCCAGTGAAAAACAAGGACCCCAGTGGAAAACAAGGACCCCAATGGAAAACAAGGACTAGTGAAAAACAAGGACCCCAGTGGGAAACAAGGACCCCAGTGGGAAACAAGGACCCCAATGGAAATAAGTCACTGACTTTTGGGGTTCTTGGCAATTTACATAAACTATGTATGATAATCATATTTGTGTGTACTTTTTCTTAAATAAGCTTACTTATCCTCACAAAAGTATCAGTCAGGCAAGATAAGATTTTGTTTGGATTTTTAACCCTAGGGTTAATAATCCAGAGTGTTAGTCACCAAGGATAAGTCAAGACAGTCGGTGAGTCATCGAGGACTGTGTTTTATTTCCATTGTGGTCCTTCAGTCTTGTCCCCCAGGATGCCACCCACACCTGTTAAATAACACCCAGGTACCTACTTACTGCTAGGTGAACAGGGACAGCAGATGGAAAAAACATGTCTTACATTTCACCTATGCTGGTGATCGATTCCCTGAGGATGCTATTAGCTAAGCCAGGAGAACATATGTTTGAATTGAAGCTTATTGTACAAATTTTTGATATTCTGCAACATCATACATGCTTTCCCCAAATGTTTATATTGTTAACAGTTACCCCAGTGGAAATAAGAAAAAATAATGAAAATTTGACACATGTTCAACATCTGGGTATCTTTATTGTAGACATTTCACCAATACAAATTCAAGGATATACGTATTTGGAATGTAGTAGAACTGTATACAAAAGATGAGATAGTAATAAGAGAGGTCCCTTGATGCCAGTGAGGTGCTCTTGATCCAAAGAATTGGACCTGAACTTCTTTTCCTTGGATTGAACCCAGTTGCCTCCCATTTCCCAGGAGCTGTACAACCCCCTACAGGTTTAGTTCTCCCAAATTAATTTAATAATGTAATGAGTATCAACAGTTGGCCAATACAATCCCTGCTTACCTTGCATTGGTAAGTTTATTTAGGTACAGGTGTGCATAAGTACAGTTATCATACATAGTAACATATTGCAGTACCATCACAAACAGGTGATCTTAACAATGCAGAACAAGCCACATGGGAATGGAAATCTTTAGCTCAAGATCTTTCACACACTTGTGCATTGTCATGAGCTGTAGAATGTTGCTAGTCTTACAACATTGCATAGTTTTAGTTCAGGATATTTTGCACAAGAGTGCAAAATATCCTGAACTAAAGATTTCCATCCCAGTGTGACTTGTTCTGCAAGGTAACATGTGTAAATTACCCTGGATAACCCAAAAAAGTCAGTGACTTATTTTCATTGGGTCCTTGTGATATCTTATTAAATAGGTACAGATGTTAATTGACCTGTGGGTTGCATCCCTTGAAAATATAGACGATTATTATTATTATAAATGTATTCAGGGAAGCCAAGAACTTGTAGAGGTCATACAGCATCTGGGAAAATGGGGGGGGGGGCAATTAAATTTGATCCAGGGAAAGGGAGGATAGGTCTGATTCCTTGCATCAAGAGCCCCTTGAGGGGTAGCTTAGAGGAGAGAGCCTAAAGGACTCAAAAGGAACAGGTCACTGCCTGGATTTCTTGGGCTATCCTTGGTTAATGATTCCTTTCCCTAACCTGGCACTGGGTCATGATTCAGTGATGGGGTTTGAGAACCTTTGCCTGACTAAGCACCCAGCATACTCTGTTGTTTTTTGGCCAAATAAGCAAGAAAAAATTCCTTTTTGTCAAGGTTTGTCATGGCTTGTCACAAGTTATGACTCAGTGTGGATTATAGATGTGGTTTGTTCTGATGTAAGTGGACTTATGAGGCCACTGCTGATGCCTCTTTCTCTGATGCTTCTGTTGCTGATGCCTGTGCTGCTGATAGTGAAAAGGTTAAAATTGCAGGAGCTGTATTTTGCACAGTTCTGTAATGCTGACTATGAATATCAGTGTACAATGTTCAGTAATTTTTTCTATTTTTTTTTTTCAGATGGGAGATGTGGAAAGCAACAAAACTTCTGATGAAATAATAAATGAGCTTTTCAGTTCTCTAAATGTGCCTCTGTCACCAAAACTGTGTGAAATAGAAGAAAAATATGCCAAAAATGAAGTTATAAATATTGGGGACTCTGAAAATAGCGATGATTTCCCTGTGAACTTCGATGAAGAAAGTGACTCACTGTCTAGTGAGAGTGACGAGGAAGCGAAGGGTGCGTCGAGTGTAGTCCAAGACGAGACTCAGGATGGAAAGAATGAGAAGAGAAAATCAACAAAGAAGAAGAAAGACAAAAAGAAAAAGAAGAAGAAGCGCCGAAAAAAAGGAGATGGAGGGCGGCACAAACATAAGAAGAGGAAGAAAAAAGAAGGCAGTGAGACTCTTGAGGACGAGCAACTCTCCGTCAGCATCTTGCAAGATATTAAGGTCAGAAATCAAGCACTGATTGAAAAAATAATGGTGCAGGAAGAAATTAAAAAGGCACAATTGTCAGATGTAAAGGAAAAAAACAGAAAAATGTCGGATGGAAAAGAAAGAGATAAAATTATGTCTGATGGCAAGGAAAAGGGCAAAAGCATGTTAGATGCCAAGGAAGAGAGCAAAAGTATATTAGATGCACAAGAAAAGAACAAAAATATGTTGGATGTAAAAGAAAAGGACAAAATTATGTTGGATATAAAAGAAAAAGACAAAAATGCATGTATGTCAGATATAAAAAAGAAAAATATACCGGATGTAAAAGAAAAAGAAAAAAATATATATTTAAAGGAAAAGGACAGTGTGTCAGATATAAAGGAAAAGGATAAAAATGTGTTAAATGTAAAAGAAAAGGACAAAGGAATGTCAGATGTAAAAGAAAAGGACAAAGGAATGTCAGATATAAAAGAGAAGGACAAAGGTGTATCAGATGTAAAAGAAAAGGACAAAGGTATGTCAATTGTAAAAGAAAAGGACAAAGGTATGTCAATTGTAAAAGAAAAGGACAAAGGTATGTCAGATTTAAAAGAAAAGGGCAAAAATATGCTGGATGTAAAAGACAAAGACAATATGTCGGCTGTGAAAGAAAAACATAAAAATATATCCCACTCCAAAAGCCCAAAGTTAAATGATAATTCTTCAGGAGGTGCTGAAGCAGACACTAAAAAAATTGTTAGTATATCAATATCCGATGTAGATAGCAAAGGAGAATTGCAAGGAAAGCTCTCTAAAAGTGACGAGACTGCGACCTCTAAGTCCAAATCCCCTGCATTACCCATTTCAAACTCTCTGAATAACGTTCATTTGAAATCGGAGAGTCTCTGCGGAGGCAGGCGAAAATATTCCGAGTCCAGATCAAGATCACGCTCCAGAGGTTCTAAATGTTCAAGATCACGTTCTAAGTCAAAATGCTATCAAAATAAGTCAAGAACACGATCGCCCATAGTTTCTGAAAGCAATAAGAGATCATCTCCAGTTTCAAGATCATTAACGCCAAGAGGCACGAAAAAACTGCGATCCTCTAAATCAGGCTCAAGGTCCTCTTCAAGACGAAGATCAAGGTCAAGGTCCGAAGGAAATTCAAGATCACGATCCAGAAGAAACTCAAATTCAAGATCAAGAAGAAATTCAGGTTCAAGATCTAGAAGAAATTCGGGTTCAAGATCTAGAAGAAATTCAAGTTCAAGATCCAGAAGAAATTCTGGCTCAAGATCCAGAAGAAATTCAAATTCCAGATCCAGAAGAAACTCTAGATCTAGATCCCATAGGAAATCAAGGTCAAGATCTCGCAGGAAATCAAGGTCGAGATCACATAGAAAATCAAGGTCAAGATCACATAAAAGATCAATATCGAAATCTCATAGATCGAAGTCGAGATCGCCTAAAAGATCTTCTTTTTCAAAAGAAAAATTTGATTTATTTGATAAATTAAGACAAAATTCAAATAAAATTACAGAGCTAAAAGGCTCTAATGATCAAAATAACGATTCAAAGACCACCCCAAGCCCTGGCATTGGCCTCAAGATACAGAATGGTTCTGGGGGTGTAATTGCACTGGACAGCATACCCCTCCCAATTCCACCCTCCACTCTTCCGGATCCCCGTTCCATCCCTCTACCTCAGCCAGTGACACTTGATGACTCTCTGAAGGAATCAAGGACAACAAATGGTGTAGACTTGGACCTGAAGGCCATCCCCATACCTTCCCAGTCTGGTGACTCTCCCAGTAAAGAGCAGGACAGTTGCAAGACCAAAGATGGCAACAAAATCAAGCAGGATGAAGGTACTGTATATACAGTATTTCATTTGACTTACAGGTAAAATAAATGACTAAAAAAAAAATTCTATGCTATTTAAATACAGTATGTAGTATAGTGGTAGATAATTTTTTGTATTTATAGAAAGTGTGAGGATTTTGTTTTATGACATGTCTGTTTTTGTTTGTGCACTATATTAAATGATTTCTGAAAAGGGGGGTAGTCATCTATAATCATCCCTTAGAGGTCCCATGACAGTAGAAGTGATACCTAATATAAATTAATTAGCTGTGAAGAATATCTTTCTAGTTTTTTATTCATTTTATGTTTCAGAGACCATATATCACTAGTTCTGTCATATTGATGTTACAGTAATAAGAAATAATAACCAGATTATATTGATGCCTACCTGTTTCTTGAATACATCAGATAACTGGTAAAGTTGCAAATTTCTGTTTCAGTTCATTATGTATTTACCTTTACTTTTTTGTGTATTCCTTAATACAGATGCTCCTCGCATTACGATGGATCTGCTTACCGTATTTCAGTTTTACAATTGTGTAATTTTTTTTTTGTATTGTATAGTACAGTACATTTATTGGTAGGATAAATTTGTATCCATTGATTTACTTTTCAGTACCGGCACTTAGTTACAGTAATTATTTGTTTATTTACTTATTCAATGACAGTAGTTATTTATTTATTTATTTGTTGAAAAAAAAAAATCACATTCATATTCAACTTATGATGTTTTCTACTTATGATGGGTTCATTGGAATGTAACCCCATCACAGGTCAAGGAGCACCTGTAGTTCTTATTTCTCCAATATTTCTTTTCCAATTTAGGAGGCCTAGCCTGAGACCAGGTTACAGGGTGATGTTTCCCAGAAACATTAACTGACAATAAATGGGCCTGTTGAGGTGGTTTGGCCATTTAGAGAGATTGGAACAAAGTAGAATGACTTGGAGAACATATAAATCTGTTGGGGAAAGAAGGCAGGGTAGGGGTTGTCCCCGAAAAAGTTGGAGGCAGGGGGTAAAGGAGGTTTTGTGGGCAAGGGGCTTGGACTTCTAGCAAGTGTGTTTGAGCGTGTTAGATAGGAGTGAATGGAGACGAATGGATTTTGGACCTGACGAGCTGTTGGGGTGTGAGCAGGGCAATATTTTGTGAAGGGATTCAGGGAAACCAGTTAGCTGGACTTGAGTGCTGGAAATGGGAAATACAGTGTCTGCACTTTAAAGGAGGGGTTTGGGATATTGGAAGTTTGGAGGGATGCCTAAGCTGTCATATCTGAGCACCTCTGCAAAGACAGTGATTATGTATGAGTGATGGTGAAAGTGTTGAATGATGATGAAAGTTGTTTCTTTCTTTTTGGGTCACCCTGTTTTGGTGGGAAATGGTCAGCGTGTTAAAAAAAATGCATTGAGCAAAATAGGTTGTCGTAGATTTATCATTTATCTTCCTGCTCCAGGTTCGGATAAAGCAAAAACAAAGACAATCATTATCAAGAGTCTTAAGGATAGCTTGGTGTTCCTGCAAGCTCAAGAGGAGGCTGAGCGGAGAGCTAAAGAAATAGCTGAGAATCAGGAGAATAGCACCGAAGAAACAGAAAAGAAAAGTGATACAGGTGTAGAAGACAAGGAGGAAGTTGAAGAGAGAGAAACAAGTGAAGAGAAAAATCATGTGGAGGATACAGAAGAAAAAGAGGTCTTAGAAGTAAAGAATGATTTAGTTGAAAAAAAAGTTGTGGTTAAGGAAAAAAGGGAGGAGATTGAAATTAAGGAGGAAGTAGTGGCAAGCAACACAGACAAGAAAATAGACAGTGTAGAGACAAAGAAAGATGAAGTGCTTGATAATGTGGATGTGGAGAAGAATGAAGAGCAGAAGGTTGATGACACAGCAAATGGTAAGCTTAGTTAATGTGTGTTTCTCTCTAGGGCTAGTGTTTTTCAGATTATATTCTATTTGAGAGTGAAAATAGTGGGATTTGGCTAAGGGTTCCTGTTATTGATTAATGGTTATTTTTCTGACTCATTCTTTTTTGCCTGAACTGGGCCAGTTTGATATTGTCGAATGGTCATTTCAAATCTATCATTTCAGAATCTATCCTCCTAAGCAAATGCTGGTACTGTGATTCAAAACTTTCACAAAAGCCATTATTATACTAAACTATAAATTTTTTAATTTAATTGTTATGCTTCCATGGTCTTTTTAGTGGTTTCCAAATTTTCTTTTAAACATCTAATCATAGTGTACCTTTATGTATAACTATATTATAATTGGCAAACTTTGAATAATTCACATTACCCAACGTAAACAATGAAGAGGAATTGGCTTATGCATACGACTATCCTTGCCCTTCATGCAGTAGAAGAGAACCAGTCCCATGGCACCTCTATTAACCCTTTTACTCTTTCAGTCGTATATACGTATACGTCTTATGAGCCAATGTGTTTGACGTATATATACTCAAAAATTCTAGCGGCTTCAAATCAAGCAGGAGAAAGCTGGTAGGCCCGCATGTGAGAGAATGAGTCTGTGTGGTCAGTGTGCACCATATAAAAAAAATCCTGCAGCACGCAGTGCATAATGAGAAAAAAAACTCCGACCATGTTTTTGGATTAAAATGCCGACTTTGAGGTGTATTTTCGTATAGTTTTTATGGTTATATTCTCGTTTTTGTAGTCACATTTGATAGAATGGAAAACATTTTATAGAAATAGAGGTGATTTTGATTGGTTTTACTATGAAATGGACCTTGTAATGGAGCTCAAAGTAGGGAAAATGTTTGATTTTTGCCGATGTTCAAGAGTAAACAAATGATGTCATTCTCCAATAAATGTCCAACTAGCCATTCTAATATGCAGTTATGAATGGGTTGATGTTATTTATACAATTATTACAATATTGCAGTAGTCTGCATAATAGTAAATCTTCAATTTTTTGTTTCAATAAAAATTCAAAATAGAAAGCAAGAGTAATATCAGAGGGGCCTGGAGACGTGACTGATGAACAAAGAAAATGTTATTTTAGAGCCAGGAATGTCTGCATTGTTCATTTTGGACCCTATTTTGAAACTGGCATATTTTTTAACTTGCATGAAATTGCCAACTTCTGACCACTTTATTGGGTAGTTGAAATCGGTAAATGGGCAGTTTCTTGTACTCAATCGATAAAACAGATGGAGTTTTAAAGAAATAATTATGAGTTTGGTCCACTGGAACAGTGGAATTAGCCGAAAATAGAGCTCAAAGTGGGTGAAATCGCCGATTCTTAAATATCGCCGAGGTTGCCCACGAGAGCGTAGTTCCGTAAGTTTTCTATCAAATTTTGTACCTTTGGTGTCATTACTATCCGGAAAAGATTATCATTTCATAAGAACTTTTTTTTTTTCCTTCAACTATTTTGCAACACCAGGAGACACCTCAGGATTTGGAGTTGCGACAGTTAGAGGGTTAACCTCATTCAGGCCTACTGTGACTTGGTAGGCAATGCACTCATCTCTCACACTGAGTGTCCATGGTTCAATCCCTGGCTGGGATTGGGTATGTTTCCTTACACCTGTTGTCTCTGTTCACCTTGTAGTAAATTGGTACCTGAGCATTAATTGACTGGTGTGGGTTGCATCCTAGGGGACAAGATTGAAGGACCCCAATGTTGTAGACCACTGACTTTCTCAGGTTATCATGGGTGGACTGTATCCCCCACAGGTATGAGGGACTACGTACTATATTTCTTTCCTCAACCTTATCTAAGAAATATTAAAAAAAAAAAAGGAAAAACCTGTTTACATCATATATTAGGCCAAAATTGAAATATGCACCTACCTCATTGTGTCCACACTTTAGAAACATTTGGATCAGATAGAAAAATCCAAAGGAGAGGGAAAATTAATTTCAAGGTAAAAAAAAGTTGGAGTTATGATGAAAAGCTGAAAACACTAAAAATGCCATAATTGACTTATGGAAGGAAAAGGGAAGATATGACAGTGAAATATAAGATTAAAAAAAAGGCTGCAAAATTTTAACAAGATTTCTAGTACCTTTTAAAGGGACAACCAGAAGCCACAGATATAAATTTAAAAAAATGGAGTCAACGGGATAATGAGAATTTTTCTTTACAAATAGTGTGTTATAAGAATGGGGCAAATTGGAAGAGGAGGTAGTGTGTGTTACAACCATTGGAAATTTAAACAAAATATTATTGTGATCATACTAATGAAGACGGGACACCACGAGTATAGCTCTGCACCCATAGCTACAGATATGTAATTACAAATAGATGATCAAAGGTTATCAGTCTTTTGTCCTCTCAATGTATGTCTTTTAGCTAAATGGTATGAGTTCACTGTCTTTACATCACAATTTGTAACATCATGATATAGTGTGGAACATCACTTTGCACTTATAGTAGGTTCCCGGCCTCGTGCGATAAGTGAAAATCACTAGTGGGTGGAAAAGAGCCATTTTTTCATTATCGAATGCGTCTGTAACGCCTGATAACGTGTTACCATTATCATAAGTTAAGTGTTCAGTACAGCTAGGCATAAAAAAAAGCTAAAAAAGTATAATAAATATATAGTACATACATTAGTACTTACCTTAACATATGGCACCGGTTGCTCTTCCCTTATGCAACTGTTGTGCAAAAATAGTGGAAAAGTGGTCGAAGCACCGAACATAATGAACAGTGGCTCAATTGAAAGCCACCAAAAATGTGGAACACCGAAAAGAGGGTACCGAATACGCTGGTCCCTCCTGTATATTGTATTGTGCAGACACTGAACACTAACCACAAGTGGTGTTGAAATTAGGTGAAGTTTGTATAGTATTTGAGGTTCTCAAGGTAACTTAGTTTTGGTAGAATCTACTTAAATTCTCAATCTTTTCTATACTCAGTGGTAGCCTGCATCTGTTGGCTGAATGCCAGGTGTTCATTCCTTCACAACATTAATGCAAATATTGTTTTTTCGACCCCTCAAGGAAGGAGCATTGATGCCAGTGAGGGGCTCTTGATCCAAGGAACTGGAATTATCCCTCCCTTTGATTAAACCTGAATGCCTTCCATACTCCCAGGTACTATATGACCCCTGGAGGTTTAGTGCTTTCCTTTGATTAAAATAATGAATAAAAAATATTGTTATTAACCCTTTGAGGGTTAACAACGGACCCTGAGTTTGAAGCCAGGGTCCGTGCTGCAATTCTATGTGATGAGCTCAGCTCACTCAAATAAGCTGTCAGCAGTAAATTTGGGCCTAGATATGAGAGAATGGGTCGATGCAGTAAGTGTGCACCACATAAAACAAATCCTACAGCATGCAGTGCATACTGAGAGAAAAAACTGCAACTGTGTATTTGGTTTAAAACAACAACAATGCAGTGTATTTTTATGTCTTTTATGGTTGTATTCTCGGTTTCTTGGTCTCATTTGAAAGATTGGAGGATATATAAAGAAATAGACAAGATTTTGATGGGTTTTAGAACTGAAAAAAGCTTGAAATTGAGCTCAAAGTAGCAAAAAATGTTCGTCTTTTTTTTCCTACGTTCAAGAGTCAACTAGTCACGTCATGCATCCAATACATGTCAACTGGTGGGTCTGATATGCGTTCACAAATGCACTGATATTATTTATACAATTATTACAATATTTCATAGCAGTAACTCTTCTATTTTTTGTGTGAATAAAAATTATTTGTGTGTATAAAAAATCAAAATGGAATTCATGTGTAAAGCCTGCAAACATATCTAATGAACAAAGGAAATGTTATATTAGTGCCAGGAATGCCTGCTTATATTGAAATTGGCATATACAGTATTGAAATTTATATGAAATTGGCCAAATTACCAATTTCTGATCACTTTATTGGGTAGTTGAAATAGTTGATTGGGCGATTTATTGTGCTCAGTCGATGAAATGGAACACATACTAGTGAAATAGCTAAGAATTTGGTCTAATGGAACAATGTAATTGGCCAAAAATAGGACTCAAAGTGGGCAAAATCGCTGATGCGTAAATATCACTGACGCAGCAAAATTAGCGAGAACATAATTTCATCAATTTTTTATCAAATTTTGTACTTTTTGTTTTATTACCTTCAGAAAAAGATTCTCTACCATTTCATAAGAAAATAATAATAATTTTTTTTTTAAAATTCTTGAACCCTGTTGGGAATTTTCAGATTGGGGTCTGGACCCACAAGGGGTTAAGGTATGAGGAAATTATCTTCCCCTTAATAATAATAATAATAATAATTGAATTGAACCTGAATATGCCTCCTATGCCCCAAGTACTATATGACCTCTGAGGGGCTTAGTGCTTTCCCTAATTAAAATATTAAATAAGAACATTGTTTTTAAGGTATGGAAGAAGGAGAAATTGCTAGTGAAGATGAAGAATCAGAGGGTAAATGCTCTTCAAAACCTCATAGCAAGAAGAAAGCCAAAAAAAATAAAAATAAGAGCAAAGAGAAGAGAAAATCTCGGAAAGACAAGGAAAAAACTAAGGATGAAAAGAAGAAAGGCCCTGAAAGAAGCAAGAGCCGTGAACGAGACAGAACAAGATCACGGTCAAGAGATAAGCATAAATCAAGACGACATTCAAGGTGAGACAATGAAGGTTATTGTGGAAATATTTTTATTCTGGTATTTTTGTTTAAGTCTGAACATTTATTTTTTTATTATACTTTTTTACCATTATCAGTGGTACAGATTTTTATTTCCACTAGAAATGTGTTATGAATATACCAGGTTGCCTTTACCTATCTATCCATATCATCAACAGTCCCTAAGGCAGTGAATGTTCACAATAAGAACTTTCAGTATGATGGATGCCAAGCCATTGATGACTTGTTACGTCACTTGTTCTCCATAGACTGGAGTATTATTGTACTCTTTGAGCCCCTTTTGAGGCAGGCAGAATTGCAGATCTGAAAAATGTACAGGGAACCTTCAATGCCTGCATAAACTCAGCCAAGCACCTAAATGCTTGAGAACTCTTCTAACTGTCTTCATTGGAATGTAGGCAAGAAAGAGGCATTATATACTTCTAAAATTCTAGAGGGACTGGGCCCAAATCTGCCTACAAAAGTAAGAGGCATAGTAGATGGTGCAATATACCTCCATTGAAAAGCAGGGGTGCTATGAGTACACTAAGAGATAACTCATTAAAGTGTGAAAAAATCAAAGCTTTACAACACTCTCCTTTCGTACATGAGGGGAATTACCAGCAGACCCTTAGCAGTCTTCAAGAGAGAATTTGGAAAGTTCCTCAGGTCAGTTACTGATCATCAGGGCTGTGGTGCATACATTGGACTGCTTGTGGCAAGCACCAACAACCTGGTTAATAACACCATCCACCAGGAGGCCTAGTCTACACCCAGGTCATAGGGCACTGACCTCCAGAACACACTCCTGGTAGTTCTTTCACAAGTGTTTATTGTATTGAAAAATGGAAGAAAGGAGGGAAAAGGATAAGTACTGAAAGGGTCAGGAGGGTCGTGATTCAAATTCAGAATTCAAAAATTTATTTCTTTGCATAGTATACAGTGTGTAGCTTATATGTACCAAAATATTGTTAAGCACAAAGAAAGCCACTAGTATGTATGAGCATTTCGGACAGACATACTAATTCTTATAGACTGTTTAAAAATAGACACAGGTTATGGAGTGGTGAATTTTAATTATACATTAATACAAAAGAGGGGTTGCAAACAAGAGAAAAATATTACAGTTAGTACAGTATGCAATAGTACAATTTTAAGTGTGTATTATTTATTTTATTTTTATTTTTTTATTTATTTATTATCACACTGGCCGATTCCCACCAAGGCAGGGTGGCCCGAAAAAGAAAAACTCACCATCATTCACTCCATCACTGTCTTGCCAGAAGGGTGCTTTACACTACAGTTTTTAAACTGAATATTAACGCCCCTCCTTCTCAAATTAATTTTGTGTTAAGTGAATTGGAATTTCTTGAGTAGTTTCAAACTGGTTCTATTATTTCAGGCTTAGTATAGTGTTGGTATAGTTAAGTTTTGGAGATTTTTTTTTTTTTTTTTTTAAGTCGGCCGTCTCCCACCGAGGCAGGGTGACCCAAAAAGAAAGAAAATTCCCAAAAAGAAAATACTTTCATCATCATTCAACACTTTCACCTCACTCACACATAATCACTGTTTTTGCAGAGGTGCTCAGAACACAACAGTTTAGAAGCATATACATATAAAGATACACAACATATCCCTCCAAACTGCTAATATCCTGAACCCCTCCTTTAGAGTGCAGGCACTGTACTTCCCATTTCCAGGACTCAAGTCCGGCTATATAAAAATAACCGGTTTCCCTGAATCCCTTCACTAAATATTACCCTGCTCACACTCCAACAGATCATCAGGTCCTAAATACCATTCGTCTCCATTCACTCCTATTGAACACGCTCATGCACGCCTGCTGGAAATCCAAGCCCATCGCCCACAAAACCTCCCTTACCCCTTCCTTCCAACCTTTCTGAGGACGACCCCTACCCCGCCTTCCTTCCCCTACAGATTTATACGCTCTCCATGTCATTCTACTTTGATCCATTCTCTCTAAATGGCCAAACCACCTCAACAACCCCTCTTCTGCCCTCTGACTAATACTTTTATTAACTCCACACCTTATCCTAATTTCCACATAAATTGTATTGGCAGACAGGGGACCCTTTGCTGGTTTGGGCAATGAATTCCAGACCTTGGGGCCCCTTATGTGTGTTGCATGCATAGGGTGAGACAGACATGAGAGATGTCAAAGAGAGTTTTGTGCCTTGTATTGTGTCTGTGTGTTCTGCTGTAGCTATCAAGGAGAAGTTTGAAAGGAGGGTTTATATTGGAGTTTAATGTTCTGTATATACAGTAGACCTTTATATTACACGGTACTTACATTCCTAATTATGCCATGTTAGGTAAATCTGTGTTAGATAAACTAAAGAACTTATGGGAAAAATAGGGTTACATTCCTGAGAGCCCCCAAAAAAGCCAAAACTTGTTTTTTAGACCTCCAGATCTTGCAGAAATAAAAGTGAATATGTTATTATTTTATTAATACACTGGCCGATTCCCACCAAGGCAGGGTGGCCCGAAAAAGAAAAACTTTCACCATCATTCACTCCATCACTGTCTTGCCAGAAGGGTGCTTTACACTACAGTTTTTAAACTGCAACATTAACACCCCCCCCCCCCCTTCAGAGTGCAGGCACCGTACTTCCCATCTCCAGGACTCAAGTCCTGGATGCCGGTTTCCCTGAATCCCTTCATAAATGTTATTTTGCTCACACTCCAACAGCACGTCAAGTATTAAAAACCATTTGTCTCCATTCACTCCTATCAAACACGCTCACACATGCCTACTGGAAGTGAATATGTAATTGTTGTTAATTGTTGTGATGTATTATGCTATTTTTACTGCTTAAGACTACAAATGCAACAGAAATAATGGTATTTCTTACCTTAAATTGTGGGTGCTGGTGTTTGTCGATGATTGTGAAGAGAGTAGAGAGTTATAGTGTGGCCCTACTGGGCTGAGGTGGATGGTAGAGGTTCTGCTGCTGAAGTCGATGGTTGTACTGGAGCATGCATAAATTCTGTAATGAATTTCTGGGCTGTTTTACACTGCAGTACATTATACAGCTGATGGTATGGTATCAGGTACTCTAGACACCATTTCAAGAGCACTGCTTCTAGATTTGTCAGGGTCCTCTTCAGTGAAAAAGACTAATTTTAGTCAGTAAAGTTAAGTTAAGTCAGTCAAGTAAGTCAGTAAGTCAGTTGTCGGTAGTTAGTCAAGTCAGTCATTAAATCAGTCGTAAGTCAGTCAAGTCTGTCAGTAAGTCAGTTAAGTACAGTAGTGCCCAGTTTTTTGGCGTTCCGCTAATACGGCGATCTCAAATTATGACTGAAACTTTCTATATGGCAAGCGGTCTTTCAAATACGGCGTGCGCCACCTGGTTTGTTTATATTCTCCATGAGCACATCTCTCTGTTATGTAATAATAATCACTCTGGGCACATTAAATGTCTTATTTTACATCAATATAGACATTTTCATTAATCCATCTATGATATTTTCTTCAAAATTATATAAGAAACATGTTACATAGCATATAAACATGCTGTTTATATGCTATGGAGTTGTGGTTGCTCGGTGGAGGGAAAACGTTACGTAATACTAATAATAATCACTCTTGGGCACCTTAAATGTTTTATTTTATGTTAATAAAGACATTTTCATTAATTCATCTATGATATTTTCTTCAAAATTATATAAGAAACATGTTACATAGCATATAAACATTTTATGTTTATATACTATGGAGGTGTGGTAACCGGGTAGAGGGAAAACATTACGTCACTCCCCTTAATACATAACGCTTTTGTTTACAATTCTTGGCATGAATTATTCATTACTTCTCCCTTTGTTTATGATGGCATCTAAAGGTAGTTGTTAGGAAATATTAAACTCAGTGAACATGGTATGTCGATGGTAATAATATGGCTCTGAGCCACATTAAATTTTGTGTAGCTATGTATATGTTGGTAGGTATAGGTATGTAGCCCAGGGGGACTACATACATGTACCTACGTTATTATTATAACTGATAATTATACGTATGTGTACCCGTACCTAAGTAGGCCTTCACTCAGGGTGTTATTTCTTCTAAAAATGGTGTTACATGAGAATGGGAGTGTTTCTCTTTATTTATTCTACTGTATCAACGTGGAGACAACTTGTACACAATATAAAGTGACGAAAACCAGATGCGTTTGTCTGGTTTGTTTACACTACTTGTGAGTGGGGTGGGGGGCTGGGCTGGCCTTCCTGGCTACCCATACTTCCCAACCTGACTTCCTACAAATAAAACTCACCTCTCACCCTACATTAAGACTACAAATATTTTAAGGTAAGTAATGGGTGTACTGTGTGTATATTTTACTTTTTATTGTTTTTAATGCCTAGTTCTATTGCTAATGTAATATATGTTAGTGTAAACTTGTTACCTGGCATTTTTTATGCATTTATACGTGGAAAAAATGGCGTTCTGCTTTCCGGCTATGTCTGCTCTCTGGCAGTAGCATGGAACCTAACCTGCCGTATGTTGGGCCCTACTGTATGTCAATCAAGTCAAATAAGTCAGTCAGGTAAGTCAGTCAGTCAGTTATTCATCCCACAAACTTGTATATTTACCTCATTTTTTTAATTATGCAAACTGATGCTTCATTATGGCCATAGGCTATCTCTTGTCTAATATCTCTATTTTCTTCATAACTCTAAGACTTAAACACTTGTACCTTTTCTTGACACTTTCAGCAATACTCGTATGCCTACTGGGTACCATGATTGCTTGGCAGATACAAGATCTGGCAATTAAAAGATCAAAACACAATTCACAAAGACAACTAGTTCCTAAGCGAGAATGGAACTGGTCATGTATTCACGAAGGCTGGGATGGGGGTAGCAGGGAATGGTGTTAGGTCTCCCCCTCTGACACAGTGGTCTGACCCACAACAAGGCTGCAGCTTGAGCTGGGGAAATTTTTTCCTCTCCTGCACACGGAACCTCGTTATGTTAATTAT